CCCCCTCCCTGCCCCACACACGGGGCTGGAGCGAGAGCTCGCCCCTCCTCCGTGCCCGCCTCCCCCGCCGCCGCCTCCTCTAATGAGCATCTCTGCCTTGCTTTCAATGGGCCGGTGCTGCTGTCGCTGCTGCTGTCCGCGCGGGTTGTGGATGTTGTCGGCTCCGTGTTGTGATGACAGGAGAATGTGTGTGTGTCCCGGGCCCAGACGAATTGGTAGGTATTCACTTAACTACCTGCGTTGGGTACCCAGAAAGGATGGTGACTGATTTTGTGTGTGGATGGTTTTAGCTGGGTCGCTGTGGAATTAGGGGTGAGGTAGATAGAAAAAGGGAACAAAGGCATCCTGGACCCGGATAGCTTTGATACCTTAGTGCAGCTTTCAGGTAGGGACAAAGGAAACTAATCAAACAAGTGCTGGCTTGGGGCGTCGTGTCTTCTGAGGGAAGCCGGTTTCTTCATTCATGTAGAGATAACAGGAGCTGTGAAATGGCTAGCATTTCCAGAAAATGCTGAAAAATTGTGAAGTCTTTATACAGGGTGTTTAATGCAATTGGATTACATAAACTGAGGTTCTGACACGTTGAATGACGAGTATAGCTTTTTTTTTTTTCATTTACACCAAAAGCTTTGAAAGCTAAAGAGCTCCGGAGTCGGTGCAGTATAACAGCATTTTCTAATTAATATGGTCCGTGGGTTTATTGAATGAAGTAGAATCGTTTCTTGGCACAGGCTCTGTCGAGCCCATCAGTAAGAATGGATGGGTCTCTCTCCTGTTTCGGGTTGCAGTGCATCTTTTCTTACTAGTCATTGGCAAAATGGGTCAAATTTGCCTAGGACTAAGATACTGCATATAACGTGGATCAGGGATAGGAACTTTTCAGTGAAACTGTGGTCAGAAATCACTTGAAAATGTGACAGTCCTCCAGTTTACCAACACTGTACCTTGTTGCTGTTCTTAATTGCCTAATCAAGAGCTTTCTACTTCATTAGTTTAGTGAGTTTGTCAGCAAAAGTTTTGATCTCATGGGGTTTTGTTGTTGTTGAATCACAGGATATTCAGAAAGATACTCAGAGTTTTTGAATGCTCACTTACGGTTTGAAAAAGCATTTGCAAGCACTTTGGCTTGTGAGGATATCTGGTCTGATGGAGAGACTATGTCATGTGTACTGGTGATGATACAACACTCATGAATCACAGAGCAGGGTTTTCATGAATTCCATATTCTCTAAGAATTTGTCTTTTGAAGGTATGCTGGGAGTTGGGGTATTGGGATACATTCTCAGTCCATATGCTAAGCTCCTGAAAAACTGAAAGGTACAATCGATAAAATCCACTCTGCTTTTTTTTTTTTTTTTTAATCTCAAGAACTTTCGCCTCGAAGGAAAAATGTAATATGTTATCTGAGTATTGCAGTGTTTGCTGTTTGATTTTACATATTATTCAAAGCATCTGCTGCATGAATCAGTTCTTTTGCCACAATATTTCATTCATTTTGCAATCAACTACAAAAGCAGAAAAATTGTCAAAACGGAGGAATTTAAGGAAAGTGCAGATTTCTTGGACTTGTTATTCCTTGGTTAGACATACAACGAAATCCTGCTGCTCATCTATCAAACCCCCCTTGCAAACACATACACACACACACGCACAAAGTAGTACTTTGATTTGGTCTGCATTCCATACAGAAGCAAACATTTCTTCTTCCTATAAAAGTCTTAAGTTTTAAAGTAAGCACAAATACAAACTTATCTAAAGTTATGGAGAGGGGTGCCTGGCTGGCTCAGTCGGTGGAGCAAGTGACTCTTGATCTCGGGGTTGTGAGTTCAAGCCCCAGGCTGAGTGTAGAGATTACTTAAAAATAAGATCTTAAAAAAATAATAAAATTATGGAGAAAATTTCTCTTAAAATGGTCATCTGTTTATATTTTTAATAATAGAAAATCTTTATACAAAGCATGAAATGAGTTAATGTGCTTTCTGCATGCAAATCTAACAAGGTACGGTTTATGTCTGGAAGCCAGAGTCATGTGGCACAACATTTGAGCACATCTCCTGGCTCAATCATGTACCCTTAACCTTTGGATGACTTTCAGGTATTTACTTTAAAGTGCAGAGATTTATATGGTTAGTCTTGATAGATTCCTGTTCATCTGGAATTTCTTTTTTTCATTATGGCATTTCAGAATGCTTATTTAGTTATTGATCTTCTTTCCAAAATTCTAATCATTGCCTTCTGTTGTATAATCTTATCTTCAGTTTTTAAAACAAATCCCCTCTGAAATAGTGCATTTGAAATAATGGTGCTTTCTATCACTTGCAAAAGGGGTTCTGTATGCCCAGCTTATGCAGTGCTCATTACAGAAGCAAACAAGAATAAGTTATTATTCGGTGTTTGGTTTTCTCTGCTCTCACACATCCCACTTATCACTTCTCCAATTACTCTTCAAAAGAGGGTACCTGAAAATAATGTAATATATAGCTAACAATCTCTGATACTTGTAAATTTTTTTTCCTTAATGGGTTCAACCTTAAGAAGGAATTGCTGACATTAAAACCCACATGGTTTTGTTTTCTGTATTATTTTTTGTTTACTGCATTTGTTTCCTTCTTTAACTCTAAAGTCTATTTCTTTATAGGCCAAATGAGTTATTTGAAGCAATACCTCAACAATTCAGGGGAAATAAATGTTAGAAGGAAGAAAGTTTTTTTCCCTTGCATAAGTTATCTGGATTAATGATGCACATTCAATAAATTTTCTAGATAAATGTCCAGCAAAATATTTTCAGTGTCACATAGTGTCAGTGATTTTTATTTGGATTCATATGTGTACCTTTTCTATACAAACCTTAGACTATTAGACTATTATTTCACTATTCTTTATTGCTTCCTTAAGGCAAATACATACTTTTATTTTAAATGTAAGAGAAAATATTTTTCTAGGGATTGAATTCTACCTCGATCCATAATGGATGAAAATAGTGTTTCTGTAGCTTTCCCTTCTGGCTGATTAGCAGGGGAAAATGCTAGCAAGTAAATTAAATTACAGAACTGAGACCATTTACTTTACTAACAAAGCCTTAGAGCTACTAGCATACTTAAACTTCTTTTTATCACAAAGCGTACAGTGATTAAACAACGAATAAATGAAACCTGCATTTGATTTCAAAGCCTCACTGCAACAAACACTTATAAAGGCATAGAGACCCAGAAGAGGCCTTCGGTAGCATCTGCTTCTGTGTGTTCACTTACAACCTAGGGAAGTGAGGCCCAAAGAGGTAAGCTCACATTTCTAGGATTATTTGGCAAGTTGGTGGCAGACCTATGTCCCTGAGCTCACCAAATTGGCGCAGTGGTCTAGAGAAGCGTAGTTTGCAAGACCGTCCACTGGGGCACAGGAAAGGAACACTGGCATTTCTCTTTTTATTCATCATGTAATTTTTTCCCCTATATCTGCTGCATATATATGTCCATACTATATATGAACATAATATTAATTTGGTAGTGTGTGCATATGACTTACCAAAGAATTCATGAGCATACATATGTCGGGGATGTATTCTGACACCATTTTGGTGGTAATCACGTGTAATCAAATGTTACCATTGACCACAAATCTGGAAACGGGATTTTCGTCATGGGAGATCCAGGGCCTTTTTAAGGATAGAGAGGGAGAAGAGTGGTTGGCCAGGTAGACTGCCACTGCATAATGTTATATAATCTTCGTCTCCTCAGCTTTTTCCCAGCCAGATCTGTTGTATGTTCTGCACAGTCTGTGCTGCAGAAGGAAATGCGAGGAAAAGAGAGAAGTAAAGCTAGACTCTAGTCTTGGCTCTATAAGTGATTAAGAATTGGGCTTTAGCAGAATATACCCTGTGGAAGTAGTACAGGAGAGGTGTATAAAATACAGTGCTTTCTAGCGCCGGGCTTAGCGTGTAGATTCACCTGCTAAATATTTGTTCTCAAAGCAGAGATGGATGAAGTGATCTGAAATGTAACTCTTCTCTCTGTGTGTGTCTGTATAATTGCTGTCTAGGAATCCCCGTCAGAAGTGCCAGCCTGCCGCTGTTCTCTGATGCCATGCCAGCACCAACTCAACTGTTTTTCCCTCTGATCCGTAACTGTGAACTGAGCAGAATCTATGGCACCGCGTGTTACTGCCACCACAAACACCTCTGCTGTTCGTCGCCTTACGTTCCTCAGAGTCGCCTGCGATACGCACCCCACCCAGCCTATGCCACCTTTTGCAGGCCGAAGGAGAGCTGGTGGCAGTACAACACCCAGGGAAGGAGATACGCCTCCACGCCGCAGAGATTTTACCTCACACCCCCGCAGGTCAACAGCATCCTGAAAGCCAACGAATACAGCTTCAAAGTGCCAGAATTCGATGGCAAAAACGTCAGTTCCGTCCTTGGATTTGACAGCAATCAGCTGCCTGCAAATGCACCCATCGAGGACCGGAGAAGTGCAGCTACTTGCTTGCAGACCAGAGGGATGCTCTTGGGGGTTTTTGACGGCCATGCCGGCTGTGCTTGTTCCCAGGCAGTCAGTGAGAGACTCTTTTATTACATTGCCGTCTCCTTGTTGCCCCATGAGACTTTGCTAGAGATTGAAAATGCAGTCGAGAGTGGCCGGGCACTGCTGCCCATTCTCCAGTGGCACAAGCACCCCAATGATTACTTCAGTAAGGAGGCGTCCAAATTGTATTTCAACAGCTTAAGGACTTACTGGCAAGAACTTATAGACCTCAACACTGGGGAGTCTACTGATATTGATGTGAAGGAGGCTTTAATTAATGCTTTCAAGAGGCTTGACAATGACATCTCTTTGGAGGCTCAAGTCGGTGATCCCAATTCTTTTCTCAATTACTTGGTGCTTCGAGTGGCATTTTCTGGGGCCACCGCTTGTGTGGCCCATGTAGATGGCGTCGACCTTCACGTGGCCAATACCGGCGATAGCAGAGCCATGCTGGGTGTGCAGGAAGAGGACGGCTCTTGGTCGGCAGTCACTCTCTCAAATGACCACAACGCTCAGAATGAAAGAGAACTGGAACGGCTGAAATTGGAGCACCCAAAGAATGAGGCCAAGAGCGTGGTGAAACAGGATCGGCTGCTTGGCTTGCTGATGCCTTTTAGGGCTTTTGGAGACGTAAAGTTCAAATGGAGCATTGACCTTCAAAAGAGAGTGATAGAATCAGGCCCAGACCAGTTGAATGACAATGAATATACCAAGTTTATCCCTCCTAATTATTATACACCTCCTTATCTCACTGCTGAGCCAGAGGTGACTTATCACCGATTAAGGCCACAGGATAAGTTTCTGGTGTTGGCTACTGATGGGTTGTGGGAGACGATGCATAGGCAGGATGTGGTTAGGATTGTGGGTGAGTACCTGACGGGCATGCATCACCAACAGCCAATAGCTGTTGGCGGCTACAAGGTGACTCTAGGACAGATGCATGGCCTTTTAACAGAAAGGAGAGCCAAGATGTCCTCGGTATTCGAGGATCAGAATGCAGCAACCCATCTCATTCGTCACGCGGTGGGCAACAACGAGTTTGGAGCTGTAGACCACGAGCGCCTCTCCAAAATGCTCAGTCTTCCTGAGGAGCTTGCTCGGATGTACAGAGACGACATAACAATCATCGTGGTTCAGTTCAATTCTCATGTTGTAGGGGCATATCAAAACCAGGAATAGTGGGTGGGTCTTACCCTGGCAATTTTCAAATGAAACAGATTTAAGGGGCAGATAGATTTGTGAAAGATACTAATATAATAAGGGTTTCCAGTAGGTCACTAAACATTTACCCATTGATACTCTAGCTGGTCAACTCCTCCAAATTGACTTTGCGGCAGGGTGGCAGGATCACGAGGGTCTCATTCTGCCTAGCTCGGACCTCACGGCACCTGTGATTGAGGCGAGTCCGTTCCTTGTTGCAAATGTCTCATGACATTGGCTTCTTTTATCGATCTGAGAAAATCAAGATGACCTGGCAAGTAGGATCTTGAATAGGCCAAAAGCCAGGATCTTGCTGGGCGTATTCTCTTGGTAAAAGGGAAGAAACATTCTGTTCACACCTGCAGACCCTTCTCGTCACTAAGATTCCAATGTACATGAGAATGTTTATTTATTGCATGACTTCCTAGATATACAATCTATGCATTATTCATATAAATTTATTTTAGCCTGAAGTGGTTTTCAAATCCAGTACTTAAGCCATAAATGACTGAGAACCAAGCAGTCTGAATTTGTAAGTGTTTGTGATTATTTGACTGGAATGCTTCTTAAATGGAAAAACAAACTACTCCCTTCACCACCCCTGGTTACCTAATGTAATTGAAACTTTTTGTGTTTTGCCACATGCTTGAACACAGTGTTTTTAGTTTGGTCCACTCTTAGATTGATGTTAAATGAAGAAAAAAGAATTATTTTTTTAGTTTGTATTGATGAAATGATTTCATTTAGTTTGAAATAAAAAGATCCAGAATAAAAAGAAGAGACTGTTGAATTATTGTCATCTGTAGCCACCAAGCACATCATGCTTATCTCGTAATCCCCACAGGCTTAGCATGCTGTGTGTGGTGGGTAGACTGTTCAGGAGATCATCCTTCCAGTTTAGTCGTGATAAGAATGTTCCGCACTTTTTGGAATTAAGTTTAAATATCAAATTGGGGAGTAAGATTTAATATTACTTTTGGTTATTGAGACCAGGGAGGGAGTTTTTGTTTTTCTCCATGTAGACATAGGTCAGTTAAAATATTTGGTTTAAAAATCACTAAATGCTTTAAACATGTTGTAGCTTATAAATAGGAATTTAAGATATATACGTGAGAAATTTTCAAAGGTAACTGTTGTGCATGCCTGATGCTTAATAGAACACTTAGTAGCATCAAGTGTTGTTTGCAGCAGTCCCTGTAATTATATGCAGTCCCTTCTAATGCTGTATCAAAATAAATGAAAATAAACATTCAGATTGGCTTTTGGGGAGCTTTTTAATATGCATCAACGGCATTTGTTCCTGTATTTAATGGTGATCTGTGTACAGCTGCGCATATATTTTCATCACTTATTCTAGCATCACTGGTAAAAGAATGGCTATGACTATGTTTGATATTCACATAGATTTTAATACAACTCATGATCAGCTTTCCCTCGTGTAATCAGTTGAGGGGTGTTTAGGAGTCCTTCTGATTTCTGTAGAATATGAACTGGTTGTTCAAGGACTCCCTCTGGATTGTGGACACTAAAGCAATGTAGAACTGACTAAAACTTGTTCCAGTTGAAAAACAGACTCAGGAAGATTGTAGTTCAGAGCATCGTATAATGTTTATTTTCTGAGGGTTTTTTTTTCCCCCCATCTTTCCCCCTTAATTCAGCTTGGAACTTTTCTTCCAGGCAGCATCTTGGAAAAGGGAAGGCTCTACCATATATTTATTTCTAAATGTTTTGACAGAGATGTCATCTTTTTAATGAAATATATGTAGACTGCTGTAGCAATGAAAACCCATTTCCAGGGGCACCTGGGTGGCTCAGTCGGTTAAGTGTCTGGCTTCAGCTCAGGTTATGATCTCTCAGTTCATGGGTTCGAGTCCCACATCGGGCCCTGTGCTGACAGTGTGGATGGAGCCTGCTTTGGACTCTGTGCCTCCCTCTCTCTCTGCCCCTCCCCCCCACTCTCTCTCTCTCTCTCTCTCTCTCTCAAAAATAAACATTAAGAAAAAAAACACCATTTTCAGGCTACTATTTGAATTTCTCTTGAACACCTCTACTGAAGAGTTCCATATATATACTTAATAGTCTCGTCTCTATTTAGTACAGTATGTAGAAATTTAGTTTCCAGTGGTCACAATCAAGATAGTAATTCTTATTTCTTGCACAAGAAACTTGGTCTGCAGTCTAAAAGTTGGTCTACTCTTTAGAAATGAAAATGCAGTGTGGAAATGAAAATAAGTGGATGTTAGATACCCGAATGTACTATCATCTAAAAGCAGTTGTAATTTTATTGTAATTGGCTGTCACTGTGATGTGATATTTAAAAAAACACGTGAACTTTCATAGTTTAGCCTTTCTTAAACTTTTTTTTTATTATGGAAACTTTCTAACACATATCAACCTCTGTATTTATATTTAATCAGTGGCTCATTATATTTATAATACGCCCTTAACTAAGTGGAATGGTGGTATGTTTCACAGTACTTGGTAAAAAAACCTGTGTCTTATAAAAGATGTATCTGTATGAAGATGTGTAAAGTTTATAATATTGGTCAGAGAAATGCCCACAGTGAATTAAAGCTTCATATCTGCTTTCTGAATGCCTGTGTTGCCTTTTAATCATAGTAAGATTTTTTAGATGCTTTCTACAGTAGATTATATTTAACTTCAGAGTCCAGTAGATAATTAGTACTTAAAAAAAAAACATATAGTTTACATTCAATACACTACACCGTTTTTAAATGTATAGTTTGAGATTTGGTGACCACAACCCCAATAAAGAAACACAACTTTTCTATTACAGAAAATACCCTCTAGCCCCTTTCCAGTTAATCCTTCCCCATGTAACTGTTGTTCTGACTTCCACCACCATAGGTTAGTGTTGCCTATTCTAGAAATGCATATAAATGGAATCATATAACACATACTCTTTTGTGTCTGTCTTTTCAATTTTTTGAGATTCTTCTATGTTGTTCAATGTGTTGATAGTCTCTTTATTACCAAGTAACATTCCATCATATGAATATATCAATTTATCCATTGTTAATGGACATTATTAGCCCTTCCCTGTCTCCTTCTAAAGCCGACTTTCAGATTAGCAATTGTCAGGAGTACTCATGGTGAAGTGTAGCTGTAACTTTGCAAATACAATTACAGGTGAGTTTTATGTTCTATACCTCAAAGGCAGGACTTTTTTTTAAAATGCCCTTGGGCACCTTGGGCAGGACATTTTTAAAAATGCCTTGGGTGGCTCAGTCAGTTAAGTGTCTGACTCTTGGTTTCTGCTCAGGTGGTGATCTCCTAGTTTGTGAGTTCTAGCCCCACAATGGGCTTTAACAGTGCGGAGCCTGCTTGGAATTTTCTCCCTCTCTCTGCCCCTCCCCTGCTCACTCTGTCAGTCTCTCTCTCAAATAAACTTAAAAAAAAAATTTTTTTTAATGTCCCATAAACAAGAGATGAAAATTTTTCATGGTGAAAAGTGTGAAGGGATTAAGGAGTGGTTCTTTGCTGTTGACCTCTCTGTACCTCTCCCACTGAGAATTTTGTTGAGTTAATTTTAAGTTCATTAAGTGATTGAATTAATGACTGTAAGAAAAAGGCAAATTATGTCCTGGTTTTTGATGGTCTTGGTTTATCAGTCAAAGCACATGCCTGAATATGCATTGTTATTCATTTTGTCCTTGGACCTAGCAAGAGTGTGGAGGTAAATTTATTATCCTTGGTCAGTAGTTAACATACCTTTTCCATAAATAATAACCTCAAAAGCTGAGTCCTGGACAAGCCTGGTAAATGAAGACATCTTAACAGCATCTAAACTGACTTGTTACAGCAGGCAGGTCTTTTCCTTTGTTGTTTTCAGAATTTACTTTGAGAGCCAAGCTTAATCCTACTAAATCCTTTCTGCCCAGTTCTTACAACAAAATTTATACCTTAGATGGGATCCTAACAATATACAGCATTGTTTTCTAAATAACTCTCAAGTTACAAGTCTAAGCAAATATATTAAGAATAATAAAATTCATGCATTTCATATACCATTAATAATGGTTATCCAATGCACATATTTTAAGGGCCACACAATTTAAGCTCGATTATTTAACCAATATTTAGGTTCATAAAATGTGCACATACTTGTTTCTAAATTGTTTTAATAATTTTTGAACTTTTAAGATTTTCAGTTTTTTAAGGGCAGGGCCCATTGGTTTTGTTGGCTCGTTGAGCCCAACACAATATGAATATAAAGTGGATGTTCAGCATTCACTTTACATTGGTGATACACAATCAAAACTTTAAGTTGAAGTTCTCTTCTTCAATTCATCAGAAGTTAACTTCTCAGATACAGAGAAATAATTTTTTTCCTGTAGTTATAGTTTCATTTTATACTTAAGATTCAATGATTTCTAAAACTCAATCTAGTTTCTTTTTGCAAAGAACTGAACGAAAGAAAGTGCCAGTAATACAAATTGGCCCCTCACAGGTTTGGTCCCCCAGGGGAGGTGGCTTCTGTATTCATTAGGAGAGAACTCAAAGTCTCAGTTTGTCAAGTGAGTCAGTTGGACCCAAAAAGTTCATTCAGATCCCCCATTACTTTGCTACATGTTCTCCATCCAACGCTTGACCCCTGTTGCTCCATAGGCACAGAATGGGAGAAGGGTTCCTGTGAGGGCCCACCAAGAACTGTAGCTGCTATTTGAAAGTATTGGGCACCAAGCCCCAAAAGGACCAATTATTTCTTCTTAGTTCACCTTACTACCCCATGGGGTGGTGGGAGGAGAAGGTTTAAGGGTCACACTTCCCTGTTTTTCTAAATCATACCCAATTCACTGCCTTGTCTGCTACATACACTCGATCAAACTGTACAACCTAATTTTCCTCCAGTGCAAGGAGTTTAGTGAGCACATTCAGCCTTTCAGAAACTTCAAACCTTGGGCACTGAGCAAAAGCAAGCAGCCAGGGAGAGTCAGAGAAGTGAGATTTTATCTCAC